ATCCAACATGGACTGTACCTCTCTATCCTCTTCCATCTATCACCAAAGGACTGCCAGCTATGAGCCAAGAATCAGGAACTTATAGATCATCGTGCAGCATTATTCCCTTTTCTTGTCCTCAGAAGCAATTTGTCTTGTCTGTGAATGACAAGAAGCTCCTTTTGAAGGCTGTCCCACACCTGAGCTTCAAAGAACAAATATGTCATGGTATAGCCACACTAACTGGGGGATGGGCATCCTTGATAAATTTGGAGAAGGTACTGGCAAGTGTTGTTTTAAGATTCAACTTCTAGAAGAAAAGTCAGTTACAGAGATTCAGAAGGCTTAGAAAGGTATAGTGCTTGTAATGGTGATGTATAAAATTATCTATAGAAGCTGGTCATTCTCTAAGACCTGTAGCCTTCTCCAGATACTCTCTCCTTCTTCTCCTCTCAGCCATGGCACACCAACTGTCCTTGAACTCACAGGATATAAATTAAGCCAAACATGACCCTGTGCTTTGCATATTTTTTCTAGTAGAAAAATAAGTAAGCTATAAAAAAAGAAAAGGTCTAGCAAACAGATATATGTGTGAAAGTGTGTGGGCATGCATATATGGCAGCAAAAGTTTTTATTCAAATGAAGTTTTAAACAGAATAGCAGTAAATAGGATAGATAAAAGTGGAACTGCTCAGGGAGCACGGGGGGCTGGGGCTCAGAGGCTGCTCAGCCACTTTCTTCCTTTGGTGGCTTCTTAGGCACCCTTCTTAGGTGCCTTAGGCCCAACTCGCAGGATAGAAAACCACTGCTCCAGAGGGTCAGTCTTCTGGGTTCCTTGCCAGTGCTGCAATTTATTTTCAGTTGTAAGACCAGGGGTGTGGCTCCTCCAGTTCTTCAACCCTCAGTGACCTGGAAGGAGACTCCCCAGTCTTTGTGCTTCATTATTATGTCACAATGAAAATAACCCAGTTCTATACCCAGCATTTCCCCTTCCCCTTCCCTATTTCCCCTTCCCTATTTTGTGACTTTTTGCAGATAGAAGAGTGGGAATATCTCCCAGCCGATAGGGGTTTGCTTACCGTGGAAATCTGACACTGTGTTACCTAATTCAAGGCAGTGACTTTGTAGAAGGTACAGTGTGGAGCTCAGTGCTGGTGGGGGATGTCAATGGCACTGGCATGTGCTGTGATGCAGGGCACTCTGTCCCTGCCAAGCATAACCAAACAGTAATTTTAGAGACAATTGTGGCATATTCAGTAGTGTCCTCTTATCTGCAGGGGATACATTTCAAGGCCCCCAGTGGATGCTTGAACCCACAGATAGCACCAAACCTTATATACGCTATGTTTTTTACCTATACATACATGCCCCTGCTAAAGTTTAATTTATGAATTAGGTACAGAACATTAACAGCAATAACTAATTATAAAATAAAGTAATGACAATATGCCAACCTCATTACTCTTGCACTAGGGGCCATTTTTCAGCAAAATAAGGGTTACTCGAACACAAGCTCTGCAATGCTGGGACAATCGCTCTGACATTCAAGAGGGCTATCGAGTGTCTAATGGGCAGGTAGCCTCTACAGTGGAAATACACCGGACAGAGAGATGATTCACTTCTGGGCAGAGACACAGTGGGACAGTGAAAGACCTGAAAGATTTTTAACATGCTACTCAGAAGAATGAGCCAGTTAAAACTTATACACTGCTTATTCTAGAATTTTCCACTTAACATTTTTGGACCATAGCTTACTGAGGGCAACTGACACCACAGGAAGCAAAACCTCAGCTATGGAGAGCACTGCTGTATAAGGGAAGTTTCCTAGGTGCCTCTGGACAGAGAGAGAAGCTACTGTGCTGGTAAGTGGTGTGTCACTACGGAAGAGGCCTGTAAACAGAAGCACTGGATTCTAGCCTTTGTTATATAATTACCCAGGAAAAGCCCACCCAACCCCTAGGAGATCACTTTCCTGTGAAAGACTATCAACTAGGTAAGCCATTTATTATTCTCTCTGCACTTTAGAAATTCTGAGCATTGGTTGGGTGCTGTGGCTCACACCTGTAATCTCAGCACTTTGGGAGTCGGAGGTGGGTGGATCACCTGAAGTCGAGAGTTCGAGACCAGCCTAACCAACATGGAGAATCCCCATCTCTACTAAAAATACAAAATTAGCTGGGCGCAGTGGCACGTGCCTTTAATCCCAGCTACTCGGGAGGCTGAGGCAAGAGAATCACTTCAACCTGGGAGGCAGAGTTTCAGTGAGCTGAGATGGTGCCATTGCACTCCAGCCTGGGCAATAAGAGCAAAACTGTCTCAATAAAAAAAAAATTCTGAGCATTTATCACTTTATAATATCAAAAATGAATTCTTACTAAAGCATAGTTTTGACTAGGATTTGGTGCAGAAGGTGGAACCTAAAAGAATTACAAGAGCTCTTCATTTAGTGAGCCTTTCCTGTGGGCCAGACCATGAACTGGACGCGTTCTTAGAGTATGAGATAGACAGGGCAGGCCATGTGCGGTGGCTCATGCCTCTAATCCTAGCACTTTGAAAGGCCGAGGTGGGTGGATCATTTGAGGTCAAGAGTTTGAGACCACCCTGACCAACATGGTGAAACCCTGTCCTACTAAAAATACAAAAAAAAAAAAAAAAAAAGCCAGGCATTGTGGTACATGCCTGTAATCCCAGCTGCTGGGGAGGCTAAGCCAGGAGAATTGCTTGCATTCTGGGAGATGGAAGTTGCAGTGAGCCAAGATTGCACCACTGCACTCCAGCTTGGGCGACAGAGTGAGACTCTGCTAAAAAAAAAAAAGAAACCAAAAAAATAACTCATGGCATTTCCTCCTTTACATATAGGAAGGACTGATTCGTGATTGTGAATCACTTAACCAAAGCCACACTGCTAGAAGTGTGGCTTTGCATCATGGTGCAAATCTTGCTCTCTTGTCCAGCCATTCATCTTTCTTTAAATTTAATCTGACATTGAAACTTGTTGCAGATGAGCCACCAGCAGATAATTGGAAGCTGACAACTTTTACTTTTACTGAAAGTACCTTGAGATGATTTCAACAATATTCATCTAGTTTATGAGAAGAGGGCAATTAATTCTCTTTTCATAAGCAAAGCCAGAGAATGTCTTCAGATACTTCTGTGCTGTTTGCCAGCCAGAGTAACCTCCATGAATGGTGAATATAATCTCTTTATTTAACTCAAAAAAGGAGAAAAGTTTGGAAGAAAGATTCTTGTCCCCAGCACTGCACTGGGGGAGCATACTTTGTAGGAACCAGAGAAGGAGGCAGGCAGCATCTGTGTGCAATGCTGACCTCAGCTTTTCTACTCTGAAGTCAATTCTGCTCTTTAGAATTGCATAGAGCCAAGAACAACCACAAGCTCACCACACCCTGTGTTCTAACTACTGAGAATATGTGCCAACAGGAAGGGAAGCAAGTACAGACAAGAGCCTGGCGGGAGGAGGTGGCACTCAATACATATAAATCCCTAACTTCCAACTGAGCCTACCACTGTGGCAGCGGAGGGGATGGAGTGCTGGAGATAGTGTTGTAGGTCCTTTGTCTAGCTTATTTCCCCAAATCTTCATTTTCCCACTTCTAATTTCAAGAGCACAAAGTACTAGAAAATGCTTTTCCTAGGCAAAACCTACTTCAGAGAGACTGAAGTTTTACATTCTTGATATACAATTAACATCTATAATAATAGTTATTATTTTTAAACTGATTTTTAGAGCCCTTTTAGGTTCACAGCAAAATTGAGCAGAAAATGCAGTGGATTTCCACATATCCTTCACCCACACATGCACAGATTTCCCCACTATCGACATCTGACACCTGAGTGGTACATATGTTAGAATCAATGAGTCCACAGTGACACATCACCACCAAGGTCTGTAATTTGCACTGGTTTCATGCTTGGTGTTGAACATTGAATGGGTTTGGACAAATGTGTAATGGCACGTATCCACCCCTATATTACCATATAGAGTAGTTTCATGGCTATAAAATTTCTCCGTGCTCTGCTTATTCCTCCTTCCCTCCTAACTCTTGGCAATCACTGATCTTTTTACTTATTTGCATCATTTTGCCTTTTCAGATTGGTTTCTTTTACTTAGTAATATGGATTTAAGATTATTTTATATCTTTCCGTGGCTTGATAGTTCATTTCTATTTTTAGCACCTAACGGTATTCTATTATCTAGATGTACCACAGTTTATTTATTTATTTACTTGCTGAAAGACATCTTGTTTGCTTCCAAATGTTGGCGATTATGAATGAAGCTGCTTTGAGCATTCATGTACAGGTTTTTGCATGGACATATGTTTTCAACTACTTTGAATAAACAGCAATGAGTGTGATTGCTTAATTTTGTTGTAAAAGTATATTCAGTACTGTGAGAAACTGCAAGAGTATATTCCAAAGTGAGTGCACCATTTTGCATTCCCTCCAGCAATGAATGAAAGTCCCCGTTGCTCCACATCCTCACTGGCATTTGGAATTGTCGGCGTTTTGGTTTTTGGCCATTCTAATAGGTGTGTACTGGCCATCTTCTTATTTCCAATTTTGAATTACAAGTACAGTTTTATATCATATATGTACTTTTATATTTGTTACTTGATTAATGTTTTTCTCCCCATAGACTGTGAGTTCAGTGAGAGCAAGGACTGACTCTGTTTTTGCCCATCATTTTATCACTTATGTCCAGGACAATGCCTTGAGCATAATACACCCTTGATGGATGTTTTAATGAATGAGTAAACTCTCTGACTGGCTCATTTTGAATGAGGGCTTCTCCAAGTCTACTGGAGTTGATGGAGCAGAGTCCGACCTGCTTAGATCATATCCTGGGACAGCACTTTACCCAGGGCTGTCCTAACTCAGTGGATGTGTCTGGCCATCTGTTTTAGGAATCTCCTCATTTACGCAGTTACCCTTCATGTAAAATTTAAATTATTCAACCCAGTTTATCAAGCTCTGGACAAAAACAACTTTTTTTCCTTTTTGTATTATCTAAGGAAACCTGACTTCTCCCTCAAGCACTTCTTCAGAGCTTCGTGGATGTCTCTGTTTCTCAGGCTGTAAATGATGGGGTTAAGCATGGGTGTCAGGACAGTGTAGAGCAGAGAGGCCCCTTTGCGCAAGAATTGAGATGAGTTGGCTGAAGGCACAAGGTATGTGGCAATCAGTGTCCCATAAAACACCATGACCACAATGAGGTGGGAAGAGCAGGTAGAGAAGGCCCTTTTACGGCCTGTGCCAGATGGGATTCTTAGGATAGCAGAAAGGATGCAGGAGTAGGAGGCTACGATGAGGAGAAATGGGACCAGAGTCACTGCAGAAGAGGTGGCAAAGGCAATGATCTCAGTCACTGAGGTGTCCATGCAGGAGAGATGAACCAGAGGGGTGAAGTCACAAAAGAAGTGATCAATTTCATAAGGTCCACAGAAGGTTAGTCTACACAGCAAGACCATGGTGATTGCTGTGAGAAGGAAGCAGCAGAACCAAGAGCCAGCAGCCAGCCTGATGCACAAGGAGCCAGTCATGAGGACGCAGTAGCGAAGAGGCCGGCTGATGGCTAGGTAGCGATCACAGGACATTACAGCAAGCAAGAGGCACTCCGTGGCAGCCAGGGATCCAAAGAAGTAGAACTGTGCCAGGCAGCCAGCCACAGAGATAGTCTTCTGTTCAGCTATGATAATCAGCAACATTTTGGGGATAATGTTAGAGGTATACCAGATCTCCAGAAAGGACAAGTTCACCAGGAAGAAGTACATAGGGGTGTGGAGGTGATGGCTCACCAAAACTAGAAAGACAATGAGGATGTTTCCAGAAACAGTTAAGATGTAGAAAACTAAAATTATCATAAAGAGGAAAATATTTAGCTGTCTGACGGCAGAGAATCCTTGAAGCACAAATTCCACTCTCACTGTTTGGTTTTCCCAGGACAGGATCACCATGCCTCAGCTTCCCTAGAACAGAACACCCAGTGATGAAACAGGAAAGTGCAGAAAGTTCTAGCTTACACAAAGGACATCGACAGTGAATGATTTTTAAACCCCACTCAGGTTTTCAGAAGGTTTCTTATTCGAGTGGAGAGAGATCATCTTTTTGTTTTTCAAGGTCTAAAATAGGAAAGAAAAAATTTGGAATAAGAACCTATGACTTCAATCTCCCTTTTCTTCTTTTCTCTTCACTTCATCAGTAGCAATGTCAGTCTTTGAGGAAAACAGAAACAGTAGAATGCAAAGGGGCAGGAGGACAAAGAAAGGGAGGAAGAGTCACCTATTACCTGCTCTTCCTGCATGTAGTGTGTTAATGTGGTGAGATATGGAAAGGAAGGGAGAAGATCTGAAGGGCGGGAGGACCGGGAGGAGGATGAGGAGCACATTCCGGAGGGTTTTAGAACTCTCACAGAGGACTTAGAGAGTCATGGATCCAAGCAAAGAACCCTTTCCCTCCCACCTCAAGCACTGTTTATCTTTGGTGAGATGGTCCCGTCCTATCAATCATGTATCTTTTTCTTTTCAGTTTCTTCCTGAGTTGGGAAGGAAGTCTTTATTTCTGTTTCAGTTACAATGGCACTATCAAGAGAAAATCGTGTGAATGTGAGGTCTGAGATTCTCTGATTTTTTTTTTCTAGACTCAGTCTCACTCTGTCACCCAGGCTGGAGTGCAGTGGTGCAGTCTTGGCTCACTGCAACCTCTGCCCCCTGGGTTCAAGTGATTCTCCTGCCTCAGCCTCCCAAGTAGCTGGGATTACAGGTGTGCACCACCATGCCTGGCTAATGTTTATGTTTCTAGTAAAGATGGGGTTTCATCTTGTGGGCCAAGTTGGTCTTGAATTCCTGACCTCAAGTAATTCTCCTGCCTTGGCCTCTGAAAACTCTGGGATTACAGTTGTGAGGCACCATTGCAGCCAAGATTTTCTGACTCCGAGGTCAGTGCCCAACCCAGAAATGCTTTTTCTCACAATTTTAAATAGATAAAGTCAGACCATTGAAAATATTTTATCTAGGACTGCAGTAAATGGAAAAAGAAAATTCAAAACTAAGTGGCCTAACACACTGTGTGCAACCAACCAATGAGTGTAAGTTAGGCTTGGGTTATTTTACATGAGTTAAGGAAGTCCAAGTCTCATCTTCAGTACCATCTTGGTTAAAGCCCACCATACCCCCCACTAAAAGGTTCACAGTGGCTAGAGAGTCTCCCTTACCCAACACCCCCAGAAAAAATGGCAGAGATAAATTTAGACTCACTCTAGGACTCTCATACCTAACCACTAACATTGCCTGTCATGGGGCCTGAGTACACAGGCTCATCCCAACACCCCCAGAAAAACTGCTAAGGCCACAGGCTAGGTCTGAAGCTGAACCCACGTTAGTATTCTCCACTCCCTTGTGCTGGACCTGCACCTACTTAAGGTAGTTTTAGAGGGACCGGTTGGCTGCAGGAAAGCAAATGGAGATGGGAAAACCCACGCACAGGCACAGAAAGCACTGTGTGGCTACAATAATGAGGTGGCTACTATGAGTAGCCAGAGAGTCCCAAACAAAGCCAGGAGCTCTGTTTATGCATCTGACTTTGAGCGAGTTGTTTAACAGTTTGGCATAAACTATAAAATGGGATATAAGACTGGAGAATGTAACATGTGCTAAATATGTACAAAAAGCCTAAAACTGAAAAGACTGGGAAATCCCCGGCTACTCAGGGCTGCAGACACTACTTCAATTTACCGAGGAATTGCCCTTACTTTGAAGGGGGGCATAGGGAAAAAACCTCAGTCTCCTTTGAAGTATCCTGCACTGCGTGTGTGTGCGTGTGCGTGTGCGTGTGTGTGCGTGTGCGTGTGTGTAACTGCACGAATAATTAATCCGTTCCTGCTATCTGTTCTCATACCAGTAGCCTTTGGCAATGCACTGATGGCATGTTTAAATTGATCCAGTGTCCTAGGAACCATCTTGTGGAGCATCACTTCCAGCTTTCTAAGTGGCTTATAGAAATAACCTGGAATCTGTGCTGCCTGCCAGTCCTGGTGCCTAGAGGATGCCCTGATGCCCAGAGGATACCCAGCAACTGGTGATTCAGACCCTGAACACATTGAGGGGAGTATAGGGAAGGCGCAAAGAGAAATCTTCTCTCCATCTCCTGCAAAGCACAAATGATGATCTGAGATCTCAGAGAGAGGGCTTCAGTTCTGACAGAACACAGCCAAACTCCTGGCTGCTGCTGCTGCTAATGATGGTGATGGTCTCTATCCCAGCCACTGTTCTAAGTGCTGAAAATATAGAAAAAAATTTCATCATCACGACAATCCTAGGTGGTGAGTACTCTTATTACGGATGGAGGCACAGAGATGTTAAATAACTTATCCATGATACTCATCTGAAAAATGGCAGAGATAAATTTAGACTCACTCTACGACTCTCATACCTAACCACAAACATTGCCTGTCCTGGGGCCTGAGTACACAGGCTCATGGGCATCATCTCACAGAGGTAGGAAGAGAAAAGTTTTCACAAGGCAGCCTTTCATCCTGGTCTGAACTTCAGGGAAAGCGAGGCCTGCTTTGTTGCTTTGTAAGGGTACAATCCCATGAAAAGTCACACTTTCTGACAGCTTTCTGTATCATCTCCTGAACTTGCCTTCACACTGCTACTTTTTTACATGCACAGGGCATTACCACTTCCCCTCTACCAGGCAATTACATTTCTGCTGTGGGACTGCCTCACCACTTGGATGCAGGGCAGAGCCCCATGATGGAGAATGGAAAGCCAGATGGAAATAGGAGAGAATGGACTAGAAAGACAGTGAAGCCTGTAAGAGCACGGGCTATAAAACAAAACAAGCTGGTTTCAAATTGCCACTCAGCCACAAAGACATTTAGCAAAGTCAAATTTGATAACCTTTAAGGGAAAAACAATTCTACTCTCTCCAGGTCTGTGCAGAAAGGGGCCTTCAAGGGCAGCAGAGAAGCCAGTGATACTGACCTCCCACTCTGGCATGCAGCCACTATCTCCTCCCTTATCTCCTCCGCAGAAGTGAGCGACATTTAAAAGAATATTGTTGAAAAAGCTAGCGGTGTGAACTCTGTTAACATGTTCTTATGTTAACTCTGCTCACAAAAGGCAGCTTGACCCTAGAGTCACAGCCTAGCAAATTGCACAACATGTCTGTAAATGATGTTGGTACAGAGCTGAGGCCAGAGAATGTGCTCAGGAAGTGGCAGTGCTTTCCCCCTATTCTCTCCTCTTCAGCTCTTTCTCCTCTACTCCCTCCTTTCCTTCCAAACATGCCCAGCACAGTTAGTGTTGTCTACAGGTAAATGGATTCTTTCAGGAAGGAGGACTCTTCTCCCCTTTCACTGGAGACATTCCGCAAGAAAAGCAAGTGAAGACAACTGAAGGAGACTAAAGCAGTAGAGAATGTTTTGACTTTAATGATTTTAACGTTCCTTCCAAACTTGAGATTCTTTTTTCTAATTGAGAAGCATTTCATTCCCCCAGGACATGCACAAAAATCAAGTTTAAGGGGGAGATAAGAGGCTTATCACAAAGCCAAGAAGAAACACAAGTACTCAGTGAATTATCTTGGGCGTTGTAATTCCACTAAGAACAACAAAGCAGAGCAGGACTCCGGGCTATCTGAATAGGATCTACCCTCTTAGCTGAACTAAGCCGTCAGTGAACTCACTCAGCCAGCATCTAGCCAATGACAAGGACAGTTGACTCATGCCAGGTGCTGGTCATTTCAAGTGAACAGTTGAGCTACCAATACAAAACAGTTTATTTAATAAAGTAGGCAATTGTACACACTGACTCATCTAGCACATTACAGACTCAAAACAGGAAAGATTCAAGTGTACACCATTAGAATAGATGAGCTTTACCTGTTAGTGCCTGACAGGAACCCGCTCCCGATTTGGGGAGCCGGACCACAATGACTATGGCATGCCACCTCCCCTGGATTCATAGAACTGGGCTAGATACCCGGAATGCTTTTATCCACAAATACGCCACGTAGTGCACTTGACAAAAACTAAGTCAGAGCTGTCTCTCCCCATGAACATCGGACGCTCGAGTTTTGGCCTCATTTCTCAACCTCCTTTTTCCATATAAATTTGAGTCCCTCTGTGGGCAAAGCCATCATCTCCCCTGATACTGGTGCTCATGGGCATTTCCCAAATGACTCTGGTGGGGAATTGCTGATTACCTTACAAATTCTATGAAACCGTGTTACCTTTACCTTAAGGAAAATGTGTTTTTCCTCCTTGCTTTGCATTAAGCTTTTACGTTGATAATGAATCTTTTTATTTATATGACCTTTATAAAGAGATTTAATTGAAAATGCATGATTATACTGTGCTTTAGGGGAATGGATTAAAATAATATTTTGAAGAAAGTATTCAAATTGTTTCTATCTCCTGGAAGAAAAATTACTATGCATCTCTTCAGTGTCACACGTTTGGTAGGAACGTAACAATTGTAATAGTAACCATTTATTGTCACACCATCAGTTACGATTCTATAGCACTTGCGTCCTCCTGGATTCTTGTCACTGATTAAAAGTAGTGACTGAGGCTAGTTCTGTTCCAGGAAACGTAAGTTTGTGATGGAAACATTATGGAATTAGAGTTCATATGTACCGACAGGCATTAGCAAACTGGAGAGACATTTGCTCAAACTAACAAATTAATGCAGCTCCTAATAAGCGAAACAAATGAAACTATGACGAAGTAAACACTGAATTGAAACTGTCCCGTTTGTTCTTTAGAACTGAAGTTTGTTTTTTTTTTGTCTATCATATAGTACCCAGACTTCCTGCAATCTTGCCCCATGGATATCTCTTTAGTAAGTATCTAATGTGTGCCAGCCTAACTAACTATCATCCTCACAACCGCTCTGTGTATTGCCATTGACAAATGAGGACACCCAGGCTCTGAGAGAGTTTCTCCTTCAGA